AATCGACTCTTACTCACGAGATATCCGATCTCATTCGGCCTCGAACCGGCGTGAATGAGCAGTGTGTGTTAATAGATTTTTATACTTTTGCCTTTTTTTGCCTTTTTTGGACAACAGCACGATACAGAGTTTCGAACCGGTACCCGTCCATCCACTAGTATCACCTTACGTCGCTTAACTTCGGCATTCTAATGGGAACCGGTATTTCGACGTAGCTGGGCTGTTGCCCAAAATGAAAATGACATGCTAAATGACAAAGCTAAACTACAAAATTAACAATTACTGCCTGATAACAATTACTTAATAAGGTAAAATAAAAAATCTTTAAACTTTTTGTAAGAATATTTTTTAATGTTTACTTATGTTATGTTCAATAAAGTCAAAGAAGTGATAACCATACATTACTAACCTCTACAAATGCCTGAGCAATACATTTAATTTTATTAGACTGTATTAAAAAGCCTCTTTTATTTTTCATTCATAAACAATGGTATTATTTACCGAACTTACGTTAAATCCTTATTTTTTTTCTTCTTTTTTTTTCGTTTTTTTCTATAGGACTTATATAAAGTTTTTTTCTATAGGACTTATATAAAGATGAATCCGCTACAGAAAGTATGCCATTTTTTGTATTCTAGTGTATTGTGATTAGGAACGCAAAGGATATATCGTAGTTTAAAAAGCAAAACATCAATGTTTACCTAAGGCTAGAAAACCGGAGTAGCCCAACGACATATGGAGTGACGTTTCAACGTTTATCTACAATGAGGAAATATAGAATTTATCATCAACAGAAATGACAGATGTTTTAAAACGATTGTTTAATTAAGATTTTGCTACAACATTAAACAAGTACTACAATATTAAAGGTGAAATATAGATGGCGGCTACGGCTTCGTATATCTTGAAGATTTTGCTTGAAAGAGCATAATTGAAGTCATCTATTTCCTCAAATCTACAGAATGGTTATAAACACTTAACAATCCAATTAGATCATCCCTAGATTTGCTGAGTGGTATGAAAATAATAATTCATCTAATTGGAGTTCGACAAGAGGTCGTATTCGCCACTTTAATCAACCATCCACCATGAATACTTCATATTTTATCAAAACAGAGCCATCATATTTGGACTAATTAGCTCATATTACGTTGGTAGCGGTTAAAATATACGTTTAAAAGTCCCAAACTAATTGCTCTTAGGACAAATGGACAAATTTATCAATTCTATATCAGTCATATTTCTTTATCGAATGTAATAAACCTTATTAAATTCAATTATTATCAACGTTACGTGATCCGCTCTTTGATTATAGCCAATTTCCAGACCGCTTTTCTCGATGATGCTTTAATTGAAGATAATTTGGTTATTTTCTTTCGAAATGTTTCACCATCCTTACTCGAAGCTCTCTCTATTCGACGGGAAGCTTTCCGTTAATTTACATGGAAATCGTTATACATCTACGCTTGATAACGTCACTTGTAAATCGATTTACACTGTAACGAACTTAAGTGAATAACGATCATTGTGGTAATGTCATTAAAAGTCAGCTCTATATAATTGATAGGTTTGATAAATGCATTTCATGGAAACAATTCCAATTTGAGAGAAGTGATTTAAACATTTTTGTGTTAGTTTTATTTTAGTTTTAATGCTGATGAGTTGTGTTAGTTTTATTTTAGTTTTAATGCTGATGAGTTGAAATTAGTTTGATTGGCCATATGAAAATATTATTTTCTGAAATACTCATAAATAAATTTACGATAATTCGCTAAAATATATCAATAACTATGCTTACAAATATCGGTATAAATATTATTCTTGTCTGTTTTTGTGTAGAAAATAATTTCATAAAATTTCAGGATTATCTTTTCATAACTTGATGTTCTATGATGCACCGGGCTTTGTGGGATTATGAAATACATAAATACATAATTGAATATAATTTTTTTGGAGCTAATTAAAAAATATATTTCTCTCTTAAATTAATAAAACAGTAAAAAGAGAAGATACTGAATTAAAATTTGAACAGTAATATGGTTGGCTTATTAAAGTTGTGAATACGAGCTCTTTTCGAACTCTAATTAGCAGAATTGCTATTTTGACACCACTCACACTGATATCCTATCCCTAGGGATGATACAATTAGTTTGTTAAGTGTAGTTTATAATTATATTCGATAGCATTGAGGAAACGGATGACTTCCATTATTATCTTCTCGGGGATATATCAAAGATCTACGAAGCTGTGACCGAGAAAACGATTCCGGGTTCCAAACAAATATGTATTGCAGCATGGGAAATATAGAGCTATTTCTCTCCCTTTTGGGTCTTTGCAGCTTCGGCAAACTTTGTTAAAAGGGATGCCCGTTCTAGTGGCATGTTCCCAATTGGCCATCCTGTTTTGTATAATGCGGTTAGCCGGGTGATATCCTTTCGCGACTTAATTATGATCTCTCTCGATTTTCTAAGATCGAAGTTTTTCTTCAAGCGTAAATGCGTTTTGTTGATTTAGAAAAAGCGTTCAACCGTGTGCAGCTAACAGACGTTGTACACCTTTTTTACAATAGGCAAATCCCACATAACTTCGTTAAAACCATAGAAAACATATATAAAGCGAACCAAATTCAAGCCAAAATTAACGGGGTCCTGACCGAACCAATAAATGTAGGCCGTGGTATACGACAACGTGATTCCCTGAAGCCCTCTTCTTTTCAACATCATTATGGACGAAATAATAAGAAATGTACGTTTACCGAAGGGATACAGTAGAGTCCACCAGGAAATTACTATTCTGTGCTATGCCGATGACGCCGTATTGGTAGCTGAAAATGAGGACGATCTACAGCGCCTATTACATCGATTTAACTGCACTGCGAAATTACGTAATATGATAATATCGACCCAGAAAACTAAATGCATGACGACATCAAAAGTACCACTAAGATGCAAATTGGAAGTCGAGGGCAATGTTATCCAGCAAGAAATGAAGTTTAAGTCTCTAGACATAGAAATTTCAGAATATGGTGAAGTACAGGCGGAGATGCGAGAACGCACAACGAAGGCAACCAGAATAGTAGCATGCCTGAATGACACAATATGGCGAAATAAAAACATTGAGGTGGAAACTAAAGCAAGACCTTACAAGGCAACGGTACGACCAATAATGACATACATTGCAAAAACTCGACCTGATGCAGCGAAAACTAAACAACTACTAGAGACAACCGAAATGAGCGTACTACGCAGAATAGCTGGAAAGTCGCTTCTGGATAGGGAGAGAAATGAAAGCATAAGAAGAGCATGCAAGGTGGAAAAGTGTGTACTCAGCAGAAAGAAAGAATGGAACGAGCATATCAGCAGAATGGACAACAGAAGGATAGTGAAACGATGGAGCAACAACTTGTCAATTTAACCGGTAGAGGCGACGAAACCAAACAGACGATTCGCCTAGTGTGAAGAAGGAAAGAGAAGAAGAAAAAGTTTTCCTGACTGTGCTGCAGGTGCTTAAAGTTTTTGATCTACCGTTCACCATAGACAGAAAGTGGAAGTTAATATATTTCGTGTAATATTAAGGACATTAAAACTTTTTTTTTGATATATGTACCCCGAAGCACGATCCTTGCCTTGCAGTTGTAAAATTCCGTCATCAGCGCTTTTTTCCCTCAATGTCACTGTGCCTGGAATCCAAAGCAAAGTTATGTCGTATCTACTTGCTACTAGGTATACCGGTATGTATTTTTGCCCCATTTGAAAGATATGACAAATAAGTGCCGATACATGGCTGCTAAGCTACTAGTGATTATTACAGTTTTTGTCTGGAACGTGTCTCTCCACCTGGAAACCCTTATTCTATTCGGGAGATGATAATACTCCGCGATGTCAAGACCATCTGAGAAAAATCCCGCATCTACTTTTGAATCTATCTTGGATCCATCAGTAAATAGTACAATGTTAAATGTCTGCAATAATTTTTAGTTAATTAATTAAGTTTAGTTTAATTTGCCACTTCTTTCTGGTTGGAATTCTGACATGAAAGTTTTTGTCCAGTTCCAACGTAGGTGTCAGATTATCTACTGGTCTAGCAATAATATTCTTCGGTAAGCTTCCGAGAATACAGCTGCGACCATAGCGTTTCTCTGTCCAGCAACAGGTTTCTCTGAGCGTGATAGCATTACCAGAAGGCAGATTTTTTATTACAAAATCTAATGAGAGGAGATGGACTAGCATGTTTAGAGAATCTGTGGGCGTTGATTTTAAAGCTCCCATAATGCTCACACAAGCACTCTTCTGCACCTTTTTCCAAGCTTGGAAAGATTGGTTGTCTTGTCTTCTTCGCGTCTTAACTTTAATCTATTGAGATATTCGTTGAAGAGACAGTGCTCTGTTAAAAACCCCGTAACAGTCCGAAGATTGTTCTTGCTTAAAGCAATGAAAATCTTTGAATTTTCTCGGTCGGTAAGTTTTGAGAAATTTCTTCGAGTGTCTTAAATCGCTGAAAAATTCCCATCCTAGGATACGGATGCAATCTTTCTGGTTATTGAGTTCCGCTTTAAATTAGTTTGCACTTGGGAAGCAGAACGGTTCTGGTCCAGTTAATGGAGTTTTCTAGCTAGATCGTTTGCTTTTTTATTGTCTTCTATCCCTTGGTGGGCTGGCACCTAAAATAGGAGGACTTTATTATCTTTGCCTAATTTGTTGGTACTGAGTTGATTGCTTTTACGGCAAGTTGTAGGCATCTGTCCATATCTTAGATTGGATGCTGGGGTACGTGCCCATTGGTTCAGAGTATTTAGTTTTCGGTCCAAATACTTCTATCCCACCTTTACGCTATTTACCACTACTTACCACATTTACCATAGTAATATGCCCTACTAGTTATAACATTTGTTATAACATTTTGTTTGTAAAGCGGCGTTTAAGGATGAATAACTATAATATTTTTAAGTTAGATTTTACAGATTCAAACACGTTGATTGTATTGATTTTCTTTGCTTCTAGGTGTGATAATTCTGACAGCGATAGCAAATCGTTTTCGTCTGCACCAGTTGAGCAAAGTTGAGAAGTTTGTCATGTCGTATGGTGGATTAAGAGGAGCAGTCGCGTTTGCTCTTGTTTTGCTCATAGATCCGAAAATCGTGCCTCTACAACCGATGTTTATGACGACGACAATTGCTGTGGTGTATTTTACAGTTTTCTTCCAGGTAAAGTATTATTATAAGTATAAACCCCTTTTGGATAAATAACAAAGTAAATAATAGTTAAGAGACGTTCTAGTTTCTCTATAAATGCCTGATATTGGTTCCTTTACAACACTATGTTATTGTATGTTCTGTGTTATATTTATCACTGTCAGACCACAAAAAATGTTTGTATAGTATAAGATTTGATGTAAGAACCCACTGCAAGTCAATATACCGTACTATAAAAACTTTCTATGATCAAGCCGGCGTCGATTTTAATATTTATAAGTTTTCTATTGAAATTTTCAGTATTTTTTTTCGGATTTTTCTTATTACAAATTATAAATCCATCATCTATTATAAATTCTACACCATGAACTCTACAACTCATGTACAAATGAAAAAATTGTCGCCTATTTTCTTCTGCGCCTGCGTGTCACAGTTCTAGGACGGTTCAGAATCGTTTATCTCATCATCCAAACCACACTGTACCATAAAAAATTTTGATGACGAAATAGTACATATATCTTTAACTATTATTATAGTAAAATCATACTGAAAGTATATTTTATTATATATTTCAATTTACAAACGGTGTAAGAAATAAAAATACCGTACGAAATTTTAATTTAATTATTTGAAAATTAATATTGTTTATATGCTCATTGTTGTGTTATATATGTTAACTAATTACTGTTTCTTTTTTAAGGGCATAACGATAAAACCGCTTGTAAAAATACTTAATGTTAAAACGGCTGAAAAAAGGAAACCCACAATGAACGAGAGAATACACGAAAGAGTAAGTTATTATAATAGATTAATTAAATTATATTGTATAAGTTAATTATTCATCAGTCATTAGTCGCATTGATCAGCAGTAGTAAAAAAAATATATATTATATTAATAAATAGATATAATCATACATCTAATTTAAGTACAAAATTAATTTAACTAGTATTAAATACTCAACCATTAGATTTTATACTATATATACTATTATGCATATTATATACAATTTATAAAATTCCCAAAATATAAAAAGCTGGTATAGCGATTTAGCTGTATTAAAACATGATTTTTAGCTGATAGACCATGCTATGGCTGCAATTGAGGACATAGTTGGTCAACATGGCAATTATCATATCCGTGATAGGTAAGTTTTTTGAATATTTTCTAATACAATAAAAAGAGTAAAAACAAAAGTAAAAAAGGTCCTTTTCGTAAAAATTATATTACCAAATACAATATACCAAATAATATTCTATATTCAATTATCAGTATTCAAATTATCGAAATAATAATTAGTCTTTATTAGTCTGATGTTTTATTACAGTACCGAGCATATTTTTGACGTTTATCAATAATCTGAAACCATATTATCATAAAAAAAACGAAGTTTCTATTCGCTAGCATTAATACGCAACCCAAATTTTATTATTTCATATTTTAAGAATATTTCTGTTTATTTGAAGATTTTTCATTTTTATCTCGTAAACAAATCTATAACGCTCTATAGATTTGTGATATATAACAGCGCTTTCAGATGGAGCGGACCGTCCGCACGGATGTTTCTTCAAGATAGCTCATCCGGGACGGAGCATACGCGACCCATGTGAAATTGTTTATTTAAACTCATGCAACTCGCGGATGGTATGCGCGGACGCTCCGCTCCATCTGAAAGCGCTGTAAGGTCCTTCCCCCTCAGTTTCGGTAGAAAAAGTCTCAAGCAACTCCTTGATAACACATTGCTGAGATTATTGTACGCTTTAAGCAGTGACCTTACAAGTGCTACTTTAAGCAGTGACCACAATATTTAACTATTAAATCTTCTATTAAAGAAATTGTAGTGTAACTATGTAACTATGTGATACCGTCTTATTAACTCCCTTGGTGCATAAATAACTATTCCAAATAATCATGATGAGTTGAACCACAAATTAAGGGTGTTTCAAAAAACATGTGCCATCTCTCGTGATGAGAGTGATTGCTCACAAAGACTGTAACCATCTTAATTTTTTTATATCAACTTAAGTCCCATTCTGCTTCGTTTCGTAGCTACAGGAGTTTAAAGTCTTCATTTTTTTCGATTTATTATAATTTTCTTCTAAGTGCTTTAAGCGATTCAACTGAAACTTTGAGGGTAAAAGTTATTGTAGATGCGACACAATTTAATACTAAAAAAGGGACGTGCATATGGGTTATCACTGGAACATTTTTCTGAAAAAAACGGGCGTCACTGATTTATTTCTCCTGTTAAGGCCTACACAATTCTGCTAACAAGAGGAAGGAAAGCCAGTGGCGCACTTGTTCTTCTTAGAGAAATATTACAGTGATAACCCATATGTACGTGCCTGGTGAATGTATAGATATTTGTTTAGCATCAAAATATGTAGCACTTATAGTAACTTTTACCCTAAAAAATAATTTGAATCACTAAAAGCACTTGAAGATTTTAACCCTCTGTTGCTAAGAAACAAAGCAGAATCGGGCTATATTGATATAAAAAATAAATTTTAATTTTACATGAGAAATATCCCCACAGGATATGGCACATGATTTTGTGAAACACCTGGTGTATTATGATTGATAATGAGCTTATTTTAGTTCAAATTTTCGTATTAAAAAAGATTCAGTGAATTTATTTTTTATGACTCAAAAGATAAAGATATTGAACATTTTGTTTTATTTTAGATTTAAGAGATTCGATAACAAGTTTATTCGACCATATCTTCTTCGAAACCACCAAGGAGCCGAACCAAAGATCTTGGAGACTTACTCCAAGTTAGCCATGAGGGACGCGATGGAGTACATGAGGAGGAACGCCTCCACCATAGGAAATATATCCAACACTGAGAGCATGTCGGCCATATTCAGAAACTACACCTCCACGGGCAACCTCAACGGAAGGTGCGCTCCCAAACTGTCCACCTGGTAATCTAACCCGGCACCAGCCGATTTCGTTTTATAGTATCGTTGAGATATCAATACGGAAATTTTAATCCAAAAATAATTTAGGTACATAAGGTGGCTCACTGAGAGCAATCCGAAAATACCGGGTATTCAAATTAAAATGTCTACATTGAGCGAGCAACCTATTGTGGCTCAGTTCTACAGACTTCAGGACTAATCTTTTAATACAGGTTATCCGAGAGTGATATCTCACCAAGGTCTGATAAGTTTTGCCAAAAAACCAAACCGAACCAAACCAAATCAAACCTGGTTCTGCTTCTCAGCGCAGCAGGTGGTTACACATAACGTGCTTCATAGTTTCGTCACTTTCCATTCTCAGTCGGCCATTCGGCGTCTTCCACCTGTCCACTCCTCTGCAGATGTGATCTCAGCCTGCAGTGCACCATATATAATGCACTGAGCATACGTGCAGTATTTCTGCTGGCTTTAGAGTTGACGTGGCTATAAGAGTTCTCCAGTTATGCATAGGACTGCCATTCCAGTCTTGAAACATAATCCGGCTCGTAATAACTAAGCTTGAAAAATCGTAGTGTTTGTCCCAAAGCTGTGGTAGATCTCAGTTTTTGTACTACTGCAATAAATTTCAGGGCCCGAATTCTGGAACTTCGACATAAAAATGTTACGCTTTCAAAGCGGTAAGCGAAAGTATTCGATTAGCGGAACGCCAAGCAGTCGATTTTGTTTGCTCCGTGCTAATCGATTTCTGGGTACGCGTTGAGCACATATTGGCAGCATCGTAATTTCTCAGGCATCTAATAGTCAAATGTGGATAAAACAATGGAAAATGTCAATGTTACGTGAATTTCATAACCTATTGTTATGTCAACCTATTTTTCTTTGGATATAGGAATGGAAAACCTCTGAATATGGAAATAAAAAATATGGAAATCTCTGAATATGTCACTATTCTTATTATATCAGGGAAATGTTAAGTAGTTTTCACTAAAGAGCAAGAAAACGCACAAAATCACATTTTTTTCTATATTTAATGGCAGTTCAACAAGCAAAGCGATCCTTTGTTGTAGCCGTTTTCGAATCGCTTAGCGCAGTCAGTAAAGTCGCAAATTGTATCAGATGAGAATACTCAAATCGGTAGTTATGTGCGCGCTAAGCGAAAATTAACGTCATATACGCTGAACGTTTTCTAAGTTAAAGAAGTCGGGCCCAGCGCGGCTTGACAATATATCCGAAAATATGTTTATTGTTTTATCGGTGTATTGCCTCTCTGCCAGCAAATGCGCACATGTTTTAGTATCATACAGTATTCCCCGGATTGTCTTTACAAGAGGAAATACTTTTTTATTATTGACATTTTGAGAAAAATGCATTCTTCATAAAAAATTTTGCTTGTTCTAAAAGGTTAATCCCATTTAGACTTTTCGAAATTTCCATACCGTTTTAGAGAAAATTAAAAAAAAAACATGAATATAACCAAAAATTAAAGGTGTTTCTATAGTAACATAATTTCGATTTCATTCTATGATATAGTCTGTGAAACGAATAACTTTGAATTTGACAGTTCCCGTGGGCTTTTCTAGTGTTAATTTTATTAGGTTAGCAACTTGCGGCCATGCTGACGCAATGCCGTCTCTAATAGAACAGTCTCGGAGCGAGATTTGCGACGTCACGCTAGTTAGATACTACGGATTAATAAATATGTTGTAGAAAACATGGAAATCACAATTCTTCCTCCTATTTTTGGTTTGTATTTTAAAAATGATATAGTCTACATGAAATATACATAATATACAGTTAATAAATACTATATATATATACCTATTTATAGTAAGAGTAATAGTAATAAGTAGTAAGTAGTAATAAGTAAGTAGTAATAAATACTTTGGCAAATTAACTATGAACCATACAAATGCAGCAAATGTTTTACAATATACAAATCATGAATAGGTACATAAGATAATGGGTAAAATGTAAAATATATTTTAAATTTTGGGGTTTGAAAATCGATCAAATTTAACAAAAAACATTCAATATCTACTAATAGTGATGTATTATTATTTGCATTCACAAAATTTATATGTATATTTTGCAAGTATCAATGTTCGAAAAATTATATTTGCAGATAATACAATATCACAGACAAAAGGCGTCAGCGATGGCTACGAAATAAAGATCGCTGTAATTTTATATGTAAATTATTACATATAAGTATTATTATTATTATTTTTAAATACAAACCAAAAATACGAGGAATAATTATGTTTTCCATGTATTCTACAGCATATTTATTAATCCGTAGTATCCAACTAGCGTGACGTCATAAATCTCGCTCCGAGGCTGTTCATTAGAGACGGCATTGGTCTGATATTTAGAAATGTCAAAAGCTGATGACATTTTACTTTTGACAATTATTTCGTGTTGATTTTTGCAAGAAGAGGAAGAACTGTCACTTGTTTTATAATTTTCCTTTTCTATTTCACGAAAGTAAAAAGAGTTACCTATCTGATTCGTTCAGGCACTCAATTAAAAGAATATCAGTAAATTTTTTGACAGAGGGATTTTATATTTGCCATGTTGGTAAAGAATAACGGTCAAAATTCAAAGTTATTCATTTTATAGACTATAGATCGTTATAATTAATTTTCATAAGCGTCATATTTTTTTGATGATGTTAAAGTATCACATTTTCCGGTAACTCACCTTTTCCGTAGCATTGAACTAAATAAATGTTGTGCTTCTTTAACATTTTAAAACACAAAAAAATATGATGTTAATTTAGATTCTGTCAATAATAATATATCAAAAAATAAAAACGAAATTATATTACCATAGAAATGCGTTTTGATTTTTAGGATTTTTAGGAAAAAATTCAACTACATTTTCATTTTTTTTAATTTTCTCAAAACGGTATGGAAATTAGAAGTAGTTTAAACGGGATTAACCATTTTTGAACAAGCAAAAATTTTTAGGAAGAATGCATTTTTCTGAAAATGTCAATATTGAAAAACCTTTTCCTCTTGTAAAGACAATCGTCCATAATAACCATAATCGTCCCTATAATTTCATAGTTATCATTGGAGATGCCAACCAAATACTTTCAAAATATTGTCCAATTAAAAAAAAACATTTGCATTAAAATGTAGTATACTAATATTAAATTTAATTATAAAGTTACAGTGTTTAAATGTGTTTTTTGTAAATTGTCAACATAAAACTAATTATTTTTGGATTATGTTACCAGTAGTTAGTGCATGAGGGTTTGATTGCAGGTAATGTCACAGTTTGTGGCAACGCTTTATATTAGAATTTATATTTAATATATTTATACTTTCTGTAAATATTTAATTTTAAGTACTAAAAACAACTTTAAATCAATAAAAGTAAAATAATATTCTCTGAACTCTGTTTATCAGGGTCTAAAAAATAATATATATGTTTTATAACAGTAATATAGGTAGTAGATATACAACCCTTAATTTTGTTAACATCTAACTTAAATTAACAATATTTATTTAATGAAACAGATATTTACTTCAAAATAGTCAGGACTGTTTCATATATTAATGGCACAAGAATTCTAATATATTCTATTATTTATCTCTATATTTGATAATAAATATGTTAGAGTAAAAGTCGAAAATTAGCAAATGTTTACTAGTAAGTAAAAATATTTACTACTTAGTAACAGTTACATTCATTGACTTGCCACACCACGTCAGTAAAAGTTCAGTAAATAATTTTGAAACAAAGTTTTATTAGAGAATGCTAGCGTTCGCTGGAGATTATCAATGAATGCTACCATTTACATTCGCTTGTCTAGCCGGTGTCGGTAACATAATATACGGAATAAAAGCTTATCGATAACACCACTGCCGCTACTGCCATTAGTTTTGCAAGGCATTTCATTTCATGAGCTTTTCTGTGACTGAAAAGCCTGATACGTGATGTTTCTTCCGCACTCCGGACATTCAAAAATCTCATTGCTTTGTTGCCTCCTTACTGAGGTTAACAATCCTTCTCCATTGGTAGTAGGATTGTAAAACTGAGGTTACAATCCTTCTCCATTGCATTCTTATGTGCGCTGCTTCTTCGCACTGATTCTGCATGCTTATCCCCTTTAAGTTTTCTAAAATAATAAGTAAAATATCCTTATATCTTCTGAGTTGTTCGCCTTTTCAAAGGTTTCCTCTTACCGTCTACAAGCTCACCGTAAAGAGGAGATTTTAGTAGGCGGTTTTCTTGCATCTTACATACGTAACAACGTGACGAAGCGTTTCCGAAATCAAACTGCCGAGAAAATTGAATTCCGCTACATATTCCAATAGTTCTTCTCCGATTTTTATAGCATTGTTTTGATCTTCCGGGATGAGAGCACATAATTTTAATTTTATCGATGTTTAGCTTAAAGCCCCAAAGCCTTGTATGCACAGGTATATTTACATTGCTTGTAATTATTGCTGTAATGTTTTTGCAACTAGAGCGCAGTTATCAGCGTATTGAAGTTCTGTGATGAATTTTGTACGTGTTTTTGCGCTGAGTCTTTTTATGTTGAACAGACCGCCATGCCATCGTATCTATATCTAATGCCCATTCCTCTTTCTTGCAATTTTCTGTCCAGTGTTATGGTGAGCGCTGCCATGAATATGTTGAATAGCAAATGCGCTAAGACACATCCCTGCCTAACTAATTTGTTAGGATTTTCCCCTATCATCAGGACTCCGGATATTCAAAAATCTCATAGCTTTGATGCCTCTTTACTTTTCGGTTGTCGCTGTTAACAGAGTTTACTATGCTATCATCACCTTGCATGCCTATGGATACAGCTGCTGATTGAAAATTTAAAATGAGATATTCAATTTTAAAATGAAAACATTCGTAGTAATCAAATTTGTATAAAAATTAAAAAAAAGGTTGAAACTAAAACAGTCAAAAATCATTTGTACAACTTCGTGTCGATTGATAGTCATTTACCCCGTAGAAGTTAGACGCTTTATTGTTTTTGCAGTTAAGTACCGTATGATCGAAAAAACGGCGTCAGCGATGGCTATGAAATGAACATCGCTGTCATTTTTTATGTAAAATTATTTGGGGAATGTTCTCGATCGTCATTTCCAAGCCAACTGGACGCCGTTTTTTTTTCGATCATACGGTATAAAAGTAAATATGCTGATGTTGATGCTTCTGTTTTGTTATCGTTTTCTTTTTATATTTAGATGAGCAGCATCTTAAATATGGAGGTGATTCAATGTATTTAAAGATTTTATTTGTTCCAACTTCCACCAGCGCTTTTCCTATTGTTTAATAGAATAATGTTGAACTTTTATAAACTGAACTTTTTGAGTGAAACTAGTGAATGTCGACAAATTTCTTTAAAATACGATATTCACTAGCCCCATGCGTAATTGTTAGCATTTTCTAGTGATTGTCAGCATTTAGTGGATTTCCGACTTTCACTGTAACAGTCAGATACAGTCAACTGACAAAATTTAAATCTATTTGTAATTTTGCACACCATGTTATGTATTATGCACAAATAAAAGTAAAATATCGCACGATCAAGATTTTTTCACCGCACATATTAAATTCTACATATTGAAGTACAGGCATTTTTATTAAACTTCTCTATATTCAGTTCTAGCTTGAGCCAGATAGATTCGAGCACGTGGAACATAGATATGCAGGAATTAGAATATAATCCGTCTAAGAAAGACCTCACAGATGCCAAGATCCATCACTTGTTAGCAGAAGAACTAGTTAAGCCTTATAGAAGGGTACGTAATATGAACATTAATAAGTTTTTAAACTACTAAACTAATCCATAGTCCCTAATCCATGTTCCCTAATTTCTAATATAGGGTACGGCAATAATGCGTCGGGCATCTGTAGCTCCTAGAATAAAAAACTTGGGAATTTTGTTTAAGTGCAAACCTAAAGTATGTATTAAGATATCATTCATTCAGGAAAATATTTTACCTCTATAAGATGGGTCAAAAAAGTGTGAGTGGATAGGGATGATTTTTTTTTAAATGGAACACCCTGTATATTATTACATTTTTGGCTTCCTTTCAGATCACTTTACATAATCCTAAGATATGAGGAAATATATTTCGATAGTTTCAGAGATATTAATAAATAAATAAAACATATATATTTTTCAGCCTTGGGTATTAACTTTAGATAGTCTATATTTACTTTGCTATAAATATGGTGCTTATAAATCATACAGGATGTTCAAAAGTCTATGCCAAACTATCTAAAATATAAAATAATTTTTCTTCGTTTTTTTTTTAAATGGAGCACCCTGTATATTTATTTCCATCCATAATCATAAATTTACAGTGTATTTTTATTTTTTAATGTTATTAAATATACTTAATTGTATAGTTTGAGTTGTGAAAAAATTAATATTTTTTAATACTATGATAAATATTTATGAGAAAAATTGACTTAAATTAAAATATAAAAAAAAGTTTTGAATAACAGTATATCGTTATTAATTATATTTTTTACTGTAATATAAAAAGTGCAAAATTCCGGAAGGAAATATTTTATTTATTATAATTAAAAAAAACAGTAACAATATCTGTAACAAATTGATTAAGGTCAAATAACGTCGAGACTGAGGTAGTTAGTAATTCTTCTCCGAGCTCATTTATTTTGTCCATAAAAAAGCAAACCTCTGATATTTTATGTGTTTTATGTGTATATACCTATTTTTAGAAGGAGAAAAAAAGAAGATAAATGGTTATGCTACCTTGAACTCATTTCTTTAATGAATTGAATCAGAAGATAAAAGAAATTGGTTACGTAGAAACAATGATAAAATTTTGTTGATTTTCACATTGTTTCTACATCATGTCCCCGTATTATCTTTACAAGAGGAAAAACTTTTTTATTATTGGCATTTTCAGAAAAATGCATTCTTCATAAAAAAATTGCTTGTTCTAAAACGGTCAATCCCGTTTATACTTCTCCAAATTTCCATACCGTTTTAGAGAAAATTAAAAAAAAAAACATGAAAATATAGTTAATTTTTTGGCGTTTCTGTGGTAATTAATAAATAATAATAGTAATAAATTATTTATTTCTATTATTATATGAAGGGTGTTACAAATTCGAGGTACGAGCTTTGGTATCTCGGAAACCGTAATATACATTTTTTATTTCAGGTTCTGAAAGAATTCGGTCTCCGGAGTAGAATGATGTGCTACACTTTATACTTTTTTTTTGTTTTGGGTACCTTAACAACAACAAATCTAATTATTATTTAAAATAATTTCAAGTCCGACTCTGGTTTTTTAAATTATTTAATTTGATTATATTCATCGCAACAATATTGATCAGCGCTAATTAACATTGAATTAGGAAAATCGAGCTAACTGATAGATTTAAATAAATAATATCCAGGTCAGCAATTTAAAGATATTTTTTTTTAATTTTTTTTTATTGTGAATTTAAAATCTCAGTGTACGATCTAATAATATGCATCATATTAATCGTAGTTATTATAAATAAATCAACTTCTACAAACTAGTTTCTAATGCTCTACATGTGCGAAAGGGTTACCACCATCCCTATTGTACAAAATTATCTTTCATTCAATTTTATTTCTAGCTCTTTGAACAGATCTTATTGACCACTTTTCCATTTAACCACATTATAATTTATCTACTTATTTTATAAATAAAAATATTATTCTGATGTTGAAGTTTTTTTTTTAACTTGTGTTATCTGCTTTTAGATACACTCTTTATCAATAATTTTTTGGCATATGCATAATGTACAAAGCTTTTTGTACCACTTTATATATATGACTAAAAATGCTTATTTTTCGAAAAAAAGTCAATTTTCCTTAAAACAAAAAAAAATAAAAACCGATCAAATTGTTTTTTCTAATTTCAATACAGATTAGTCATACTTGGTAAAAATTTCGATTTTTTAAAACTCGTAAATTTGCGGTAAAAAAGATTCTTGACCAAATTTTTTACTCTCTCTTATAAAACACCCTGTATACGAGAGTTTGCTAAATATATTTTCGAAAACCACATAGCATCTTAATCACAATAGATGCATCTAAAACCTGGTCCAAACCGAATCCCAAAATCTTTTTTAGTACAACAGATATTCAACTTTAAATTTACCCTAAAATTTTGCTTGTCCCGGTAATTATGTCCGGCAGTTTATTTGGCGAAATTGTCCACAAGTACTAGTTAAACGGGTCCCCCGGGTTCCGAGCGTCGGCCCGGGAATGAAGGGGTTTGACCTTGATCGAGATCAATTCGGTTACCCAGTAGTAATGTGTCAATCCCGCGGATCCGCACGATAAATCCCGCAACTTCGATCCCGCGAAATCTCAGAGGGATCCCGCATTTGCAGGATCCAGCATTTGCGGGATTGCATTCCCTAATATCAACTCCTACTTGTAATGTCTAAATATCTTTTAATTGGTTTGAAGAATAAAATGTTTTCTCCGTACCTGTATAAAACTATATTGAGTGAAAAAATACTCGGAAATGACGATCGATGACACATTCCCCTTATAATTTTATATATTAAATGTCGGCGATCTTCGTTTCATAGCAATCGCTGACGTCTTTTTTGTTCTTCCATAGGTGAAAATCCCAGACTTTTTTCAAGGTCCTTTTTTATGGTTTAAAACTTAATGTTTAATATAATAAATTATTGGTCATTAGAACATACGTCTAAAAGGTTTTTATTATTAACAAACGTCCGCTTTCTAAATGATCTTTTTGATCCCCACCTTATTGACCACCCCGCAGTCAATCCGTTTGCCAAAAATCAGCTTTAAACGTTGATTAAATCAGCCTTAAACGTCAATATCAGCCTTAAACGTCAATTTAAGCAGAATCGTGATTACTTGATGGTCATATTTTATCAAACATCCTGTATACATTTTTAAAAATCTTAAAATATGTAAAACAACAAAATAAAATATACGTGTTTAAGAGCTTTTCCGAACCGGTTTTTAAATAAAAAATATTATAGTATCTGAGGGGTGGTTTCACCCCCTTAGAATTCGAGCTTCAAAAAATCCCTTCGTATCGAACTTTTACACCCTAAAGTCAATCCGTTTTCCAAAAATCAGCTTTTTACGTCAAGCGCTTTAAGCAGGATCCTGATTAATCAATGACCAGATTTTTCGAAACACCCTGTATACATTTTTAAAATATCTTAAAATATGTAAAAAAACAAAATAAAATATACGTGTTTAGGCATTTTTTCAGAAACATGACCGGTTTTTAAATAAAAAAATATTGTAATATTTGAGGGGTGGTTTCACCCCCTTGGAACTGGAATTTCGAAAAATCCCTTCTTATCGAATCTTTACACCTTAGAATCGTTTGCTAAAATTGAGCTTCTTACGTTGAGTGGTTTGAGCAGGATCGTGATTAATCAGTGTGTCAGTCACTTAAGGATTTTATATATTAGTATAGATTATATAAATAAAAAAAAACAACGCTTTATTGTACAAAAATCCAACAAAAACAAATATACAAATAATACAAAAAATGTCATACAATACAAATCAATTCCAAAAAAAAATTACGTCACAAATTTACAAATAAAATATATATGGACATTGCAGAACACAGGCGTATCTAGAAAATTTTACAAAAGGAAAACTGTAAATGGATAAAATCATATTTAAAAAAAACAGCTTGAAAATAGTTTAAATAAATTGTGTTCAAATGTCTAAAGCAAAATAATATTAAGTGTGGCATATCATTGTGGTCAGGAGACCGAGTTCTTTCAAAACCTGAAATAAAAAATGCAGGGCCTTATTTAAAAAAATTAAGTTGACTAAATGGCTATGAGAATATGCAATTAGTTTGATTTTCTAAAAAGTAAAGAGAGGAAAAAATAAAATTGATTTTCCAAAAAACTCAGCAATCCTTGAAAACTTTTTTGGCATTTTGGTGAACATTCCAAAGAGCACCTTTGCCCCAATTTAACCATATTTGTATCTATTACGGTTACCGAGATACCAATGCTCGTACCTCGAATTTGTAGCAACCTGTATAGTATAAATAATTTCGACAAAAATATAATTTAATTTTTAGCATCGAAGACTAAGCTACAGTAGACATGCTGTGAACGACAGAGATCTCTCAACTCAAGTGAACTACAGGATGCACTTTAACATGAGGAGATTGGTCGCTGACAAGAAGCACCATCACAGCCATAAGAGACACAGCAAAAAAATGAACAAGGTATGAACATTACGTTTTGACCACAAATATTCAGGTAAATTTATAAGCTTTTTTATTTAATATTACATAAGTTGTATTGTGATGTAGAATTTCCTTGAAGTGCCTGGAAGATTAGAAACAGGAAAACCGAGTTCCAGTGGTCTTGCAAAGGTAATAGGGTAAAACATAAAAAAAGAACACACCAGAAAATATTTTATAGTTTTATTGTAGTTCAGAATAAAATTAAACAATAGGTTCGCAGAGAGCACTCTGATGCATTTTCGAAAATACAATTTAGTTAAAATCATTAGTGTTACTACAGCTTACTTACTACCAGCTGGTCTTCTTTTTCAATGGAGCTCAGAAACCGGCTTGTTACAGATCTTAAAATAGACTTAAAAGAATCTCTACATAGGTATTGTATCTATTTTCATAAAAATTATTGTAAATCGACAGGCTGGGTATAAATAGGTTGTCGTGGTACTACAAAAAATTATGTAAATCTGCCACAATTCACTAAAACTCTTATTTAAACTTTAGAAGCAGGTTTCACTAACCGTGTTAGCATCAAAAAAATTAAACGATTGATAAAAAATTAATTTGCAAAAACTGTTTAGTAAGCAATATAGGGAATTATACTATTCAGGATGGCCCATACATTAGTACGAGGAAGTCTATTTATCGTTGTTTTTGACAAAGTTCTGAAAAATGTTTTATGTAAATGTTGCCTGGTCTATAAAGGTGAATATCCTAAAATATATCGTTTTATAGGGGGTGTTCAAAAAAATTAATGATAAACTAGTATTTTTTTTTAATTTAAACATCTGTTTTTCTGTATCGAATTGAGTTCAGCGTATAGTTAAACATTAGTTTTATTTCAAGCACTATGCGATGTAACCTAACTGTAAATGCTATATCTTATTTTATTTCTTCTTTACCAAAAGCTTTTGTTAAAAACAGTATATCCGAAAAGTGGTTAAAACTTTTGAAAGTGAATATAACTTATTGATACTTAGATATATTTTCCAAAACACCAAGTATAAAAAAACCTCGGCAAAAGAAAACTCACATTATCTTATAGAAAACTCTAAAATGAAAATGATCTACATGAAATTTAATTAACATCATAAATTTTTGCAATATTGGCCACGTCCTAAAAATGCTCTGTATAAGATAATATTAGTCTTCCTTCACGGATTTATTCTGGTAATCTTGGCGTTTAGGAAAATATAGATAAGTATTAATATAATAAAGTACAGTCCAGGTTTTTACAGTTTTTAGGCATATAATTAGGCAACCAAAGTTTTAGCAAATATGAAATAGGATGAGAACACAGCACAGTAATTCAAACAAAAATAGTGTACTATATGCTGAACCGAATTCTGTACAGAAATGAAGGTTGCAATTTAAAAAAAAACTTACAACTTTATTATTATTTTTTTTGGGCGCTTTTTTGGGTAGGTACATATAACAAAATATTTTTAGAATATGCACCTTTATAAACCATGCCACATTTATATAAAACTTTCTTTCATATCTTTGTCAGCAGCGTCGATTTTGGACTTCATCGCATTAATGTGTATAAGAAGAAAAGTTATTTTAAAATTATAAGATAAACTTCTCTTATATAGGGGATACCAATTAAACTTTTAGTTACGTAATCGAGTACGCGATTTTTAAATTCACTGTTGCTAACCATGGACGTATTCGGCGCCGGACTGACTAACCGGAATTTTAATTTCCCCGTGGGGATTCAGGTGGTATATCTACTCTAAAATATATCAAGGTTGCTACATTTATTTATTTATGATATGACACTGTCATTCGTGTTGACACTTTCGTTTTGTATTACAAGTTTTTGGTTTAAATGAATTGTGTTGTGATACTTTAAGCTTAAAAAATTTTACTAGCGGACCTTGCAGTCGAACGTTGTTCTTTTTAGAACCTCTTTAATGTGAAGTGGTACAAGATAGATTAAAACCATCGCAAACTTATTAGAATATTTTGAAAGGGAAAGCGGTAGTAATCGCCCTTTATATTCCTTAAGTGGTGTTAAGGAGGTGAGTTTTCTTGATGTAAATAATAACTGTTTATATATTTATAATTAATTTATTTTTGTTTCCTAATATATATTTTGATTAGAATAAAATATTTAAAAATGGGCAACGCTGTGCCGGCCAAGCTTCCCAAGTAGCATTTGGACGTTATCTAACGTCGGGTATACGTCGCGTTTAATAAACCCGACGTCGGGTACCAACGTCGGTTCGACCGCCTGACGACCCTTATTTGCACCTAAATGGGGAATACAGGTTCGGGTCGCCTCGACGTCGGTATCTGACCTAATAGGGAATGTAATTCTACCAATTACCAACGTCATATTACGTTGGATTTTAGTCACTTAAAATTCGTCGCTAAGCACTTACGTTACGTTTGTTTTCATATTCGCTACCAAGAATACATAAAAACCTAACCAAACTACCTAATTACAAATGGATTCATAATCACTCCTCGAATATAACTATATGTGCCTATCTAATTTCATATTATAATAATTCTGAATCATTAATCCAGACATCAGTTTTGTCAACGGAAGTCACTTTTTTGATATATCTGATTAAAATACTCCGGAAAACAACGAGCGCCTTTAAAATTAGGTAGATTTATGAAATAAAAATATCTATAAAAAAGTAACTCGCAAAACATTTTTTAAAATTTTCTAGCTGGTTTAATCATAAAAGTGTACCTACTGTGGTTCCCCCCAAACTCAACCTTATCAATATTATTCTACTAGAAATCGAAATGTGAATATAAATTTTAAAAACATTTTAAAATGGCTGACAATCGGATACTTGTTAAGAATGGCGGATTTCTGTGTCCGACTTAATATGAACTACCAATATACCAATTCCGACCGGGTCTCCAACATTAGTCGTCTCACAAACCGAAGTCATCAAATCGGACGACCGGCAATCGTATTATGACGTATATAATTCCAACGTACGCCACGTAACCTCACTTTGCGTATCAGTGATTTGTGGATTTGTGCAACTATATTTTAGTTTTTGTTTTCTCTTTAAAAAAAATGGACAGCCACTTTTTTAAGCCTAACCTCACATGTGGGAGGGGGATGGAGTCTGCTGGTTTCCTGAGCTAAAAAATGAAATTAAGATGCACCAGTGTAATGCAGCATCTCTTCCGGATAAAAAGCATTTATGGGTGGAGGCAAGACATCACTATTACTATTATTATTTTGCAAAAGCCTCGACCTCTTTCTGTAAAATGTAGATGAATGTCTAAATGCCTTTTTAGTGTTTTTTAGGCATAATAAAACAATTAAGTTTGTTTACAAAAACTTTTTATTAGGTTATGTTCATGATGTTCATTAGGTCGCAAATGCTACTTAATGGGTTGTATTTACGGACGTAAATAGAGATACGTAAATTAGGTTATAAATATGAACATAAAATACAACAAAATATAATTGGGCGTTACTTTAGGGATTATCAGTGAGACGTATCCTATTCGGACAACGGGTAGACGTCGGGCTAGTTCAAGTATATGTACGTCGTGCAAGCTGACGTCGTGGGAACGACGTTGGGAAATTAATAAAAATGGTACGTTGTTATTTTGTACGTCGACAGATCGTTGGATTTACCGACTCGGATCCAACGACGTCGCTTTTAAATAGGAAAGCGACGTCACCGGTCGTATCATCAGCACTCGACCTAAATTTGGACAAAGTCTGACGTCGCTTCAGGTCAGATTTAGTTCGAAGTCAGATAGATGCTACTTGGGTTAATCACGTAACTAAAAGTTTAATTGGTATGAACTATAGCTTAGTAACCTACATGGTGCCATATTCATATAAACACTACAAATTTATTTAATGTAAATTTTCATTTTATGGTGCTAATAATTAGAAATAAAGTAAATATAGATTTTTAAAAAAATATATCAAAATTAAAGCTTATTTTATGTTTTACTCTATGATATTGAGCTTTTGTGTATTTTCAATAAACGGCAAGTGCTTAGCTACACACCTGCAACGCAAATAGCATCTTTTTCAACACGTTGAATATGTGTGGTAGGTGTCATATTTGCTAAAAAAACATCATAACGTAACACACAATGGGAAACAAAAGATGCAGAATTTTCAAGTACACGATATTATTGATTTTCCTTGTATTATAAAGTATAATTTTACTCTAAAAAGGCTAAAAAAACAAGATTATATTAAAAAGATAATATAATAAACAATACAGCATTTTAAATAAATCTACATATAAAAATATACCGGGTGATGCATTGTCGTTGGGAATATAGGAAATAACATGCAGATTTTGAAATGTCCAAATATTCGCACGCTTTTTGGTTTTACAGAGATGTCGTAAATAGATTGGTTAACACCTCGCATGTTGAAATTTGCCTGGTTTTGCATTGTTACCTGCTCAGTTTTAATTTAAAAATAGATGCAGATTTCTTAAATTAGTTAAAATCGGCTTATTCAAAAATGTTCAAGTTTTATATGCGTGTGTATTTACCATATACACAGAACTTATTACACTTCATAAAAATATTATTCTATAAAACCAGTTGTACTCTCTAAAAAACTCATTGTCATCATTACATAGTGGACTAATTTTGCAGCTAAATTTGACATAAAAAAATCTATCGATTAAATAAAGAAAATAGAAAAATACTAAACTCGATTTAATAAAGAAAATAGAAAATACTAAACTCGCATTACATGCAAAATTAATTTCCTTTAACTTTAAAAAGCTTATTTACGACTTAGTCCAAATAATAAAAAAATGGCTATAAAATCCAAAGGAAAGCCACTTGTTTTTGACATTTGGATAGTCCAAAATTTGCATGGCATTTTTTATGTTTCCAACGATGATGTAACACCCGTTATAAAAATACTGTCATTTATTGTACAGCCAATTTTTAAGTCTTATTTCAAAATTACTAAAATTATTTCCAAGTTTGTTTCTACTTTTCTCTCTCTTTTGTTGCCTACTGTATATCATATACTATTATTCTCATAATATAATCATTTTATATCTCTAATCGCACAAAATACTATAAACTTATGTTTATTTGACTAAAATACAACAATTTATTCTAGGATGGAAAACAAAATCATGTGAGTTTTCCGGAGTTTCAGCAGAACGGAACAGCGAAACAATTTTCTCATGGTTAGTAAGTTTCTAGAAGTTTTTATTTAGGTTCCCCGTATAAAAATATAGTCGTATATTTGTTTTCCAAACTCACTTTTCTTTAAAACTTGTATTTGTTCTTTAAAGACCGTTAAATTAAATTAATTATCGGGAATTTCATGCAACTTTTTTTAGTTATAATGACGTCATGGGGTTTTAAATGTTTTTATTTAATTTTTTTAATACAAACTATATTACTTTAATTTACCACATTGGCTAAATTAACGCCCGCGAGACAATTGCTAGTAATAACTCTAGCAATCAAAACACGCTGTAAGCATCAAAACAACAAAGTGAGTCTTTTGTTTTGTTTTTCTCTGTTTCTTTAACGCACATTTGTTTTTTTCTTAATTTTAATATTTTGGTTTAACAAACTTGCTAAATTACCATCTATATAGCTATAGCCCTAGCAATCAAAACACGCTGTGCAGTTGCAGAAGCGCGAGCATATTGCAGAATCGCGAGAATATTTTTGAGATTAGAAAAAAAATGTTCTCTTATTTTGCCAACAATTGTATTTTTCCTCAACTCAAGTTCTTTATTTTTGTCTAAACAGCATTAGAATATACACTTCATTTTATAGCAAATTTGCTAATTTCAAGGGCCCTAAAGTAACATGGATCCCAAATATAAAGGCCTAAAATATAATAAAAGTGTTTTGAAATCTAGAGCATTTTTTATTTAAAATTATTATTAAAAATGGCTATTTTTTCATAATAAAAATACAAAAACAAAAATGTTTAAGAAAATTTAGTGAAACTGACAACATTGCTTTTCCTACTATCTCTGTCATGCCAAATCAAGTGTTAAAATTTTCCATAACGTCAAATATTTGTCAAAAACTACTAAAATTAAATTAAAATATTTCCAAAATTTCGCGCATATTCTCCATTTTTTCAACTACTAAAAAAGGTTACTTTTTGATAAAAAAAAATACAAAATGCAAAGATTGTGTGTCCGGATAGTTCACCGAACCACGAATAAAATAAATTTGTCCAACCGACAAAAATACTTAACGTTTCAAGAGGTATATTTCCTCCCGTCATCTGAACAAAAAAAAAAGATGAAAAAAAATATTTAAAATATCTTAACACACCTATCTAAACTGTTGACATTCAATTTAAATGACATTAAATAAAGCCAAACCTCAAATTTACAATTCCTACTTGATTATAATTATTTAATGCTACCAAAAAGCTTAAACCAAAAACCAAAAAGCTTAAACTTTCTGTATATAGTTTTTTATTTATTCTAAATTTTTACCTATGTTTATTAATGACATGCGGTATTATTACTTACAATTCTTCACGTATGATTTTTATAACTAAAAATTTAGTTTTAATAAATAAAGTTGTTTGTAATTTCTCTTTTGTCAAAGCTTACATTGTTTTTTCTTATAGATTATATAAGTGAAGTATTAAATGAGGAGATGGACACCGATCCCAAATCAAATCGAGAGGAATGGGACAGCCCTATAACTTTTACGGCCAAGTCATCACGTAAGTGACAATAAACTCGATTCTCTAGTGTGTGAAAATTGTTTGGTCTTGTTTTATGTGTTCCGATACAATTTATGAAAATGGAACAGTCGATGGAACAAACTTTATATCCAAAGATATAACATAAACAAAGGTTTTTACCAATTATTATTTATTTTATTTTATTCATCTCAAAAAGTTTTACCGAATGTCCATTAAATTACGGAAATATAGGCAATTATAGTATAGATTAAAATGTTGAGAATATAGTAAAATGAGTTATATCTACCATCGGTTATAGGATATACAGTGTCACAGATAAAATCCCCATCATATATGTTTTTATTTTATTTATTGCCCTAGATTAGTGATGGCAAACCTATAGTCTTTGGGTGAGACACTGACCCACGAAATATTTTTGACTGACCTACGATTGCTAGGTAACTATTTGTTTGTTTACCCGGGTTTACTTAGATTTTTGAATTTGTGCAGATCTGTGAACTTTACTTATCTGTGACAGTATATACAGGGTGTCCCAGGCTGAGTGTGCATTAGGAGTTTCTGGAGAACTACAATATCTAGATCGGAGATTTTTTGCACATCACTGTTTCACAACGAGATCTCTCGATTAAAAATATTTTCAATATGGCGGCACTTACGGAAATACCGTAAGTTGGCATATTTTTAATGGCTACCCCCATTTCTTATTACATACTTAAATTATCCGTAAAATTTTTTGAATTTTGATACCAAACACTCTATACCTAACATTAACCATTTTTAAGAGAAAAAAAATATTTTTACGGATTCCGTGGGTCCACTTCACGTGGGTTAAACTCACGATAAAATACTTAACGAAATTATTTTTCTCACTATTTACACACAATTTTAGTATAAATTGTGTTATTTTAACAAACATTAACTATTTATAAAATTCCTTCGCCAAATTGTCCGATTCACAATTTAAAACGCGGTATTTTCAAACTTCAAACTGGCCCAACTGTCGAGCGCGGGCTTTATATACTCTACTGACTGTTTCTCGAACTTTCTAAAATTCTCGGAGAGCCTTCTACCTCCTACTGGTAAATTCTATTCCCGCCTGATTCGCTTTTCTACTTAGCTAAGAGATGGCGCCTCAACAAAAATGTCTTCAGATAGTCCTCAACCAGCATACCCCTTGACAATATTTAAAATTTTTGGAGGAAAAAAACTGCCTGTCAAAAAAATCTGTATAGAGTAAAGGACAAATTTAGTGATTACCACAGCCACTGTGACATAAAGAGAAGACATGTGGCTATCTATTTCAAAAATTAAATTGTTCGAGTGTCATATAATATTGACCGTAGCTGTCATGGAATTCAGCGATTAAAAAATTATCATAAATCATTTTTTTAAAATGGAAACCCACATTTTTATTTCACTAATGAAAAGGTTTGCTAATTCGTTACTTTTTGATTATACATATTCCTATACCTAAAATCGTTCTTAAGTTATTTAAGATATAGTTTTTAAGGTTATATTTTTTTGTTTTTTAACCAGTAGCTTATTACTTTAAAGGTCACGCGATGTATAACTATATCTGGCCATGTCATTGCCCATTAGCTATCACTAAAATATGATATATATATATATTTTTATAAATACACTTTGTAAAGTTTTACCAGTATTATATATAATATATGAAATCCAAATAATTAGTTTTTTGACAGAAGGAAATAAATTGTCTGATGGTTTGACACTTAATGTTAAAGGAAGCTAGATAAAATCAAGAAAAAAATACGCTTTAAAACTAAATCTTAAATAACTTAAAAACGATTTATTTTAGATATAGGAACATGTATAATCAAAAAATAGCGAATTAAAAAACTTTTTAATTAGTGAAATAACAAAAGTGGGTTTCCATTTAAAAAAAATGATTTATGATAATTTTTTAATCACTCAATTCCATGACAGCTACGGCCAATATTATATGACATTTGATCAAATTAATTTTTGAAATAGATAGCCACATATCTTCTCTTTATGCCACAGTGGCTGTGGTAATCACTAAATTTGTCGTTTACGCTATACAGAGTTTTTTCCTCCAAAAATGTTAAATACTTTTTTCTCAAAAAACGGTTAATGTTAAATATAGTGTGTTTATATCAAAATTCATAAAATTTTACAGAGAATTTAAGTAAGTAATAAAAATGGGGGTAGCCATTTAAAATAGGAAAGTTGTTGTCGACTTTCGGTATTTCCGGAAGTGCCGCCATATTGCAAAAAATCTCTGATATACCTAGATATTGTAGTTCTCTAGAAACTTCTAATGCATGCTCAGCCTGGGACACTCTGTATACCTATATTCAGCTGCAAAAATTAAAAATAAATAAAATTTGTAACATATTAATTTCTATTGGAAACAAATCAAAATCTCTATTTTCTGCATTTGGAAATGTGGGCTTAATGTGGGCTTTCTTTTATTATTATTCTAATATTGAGTTCTTCTAATTTACATTACAGTTGAGATTAGAACTTTTTTGAAGTTAAAGCAGCAAAATAAATTAATAATATTAATTTCCTAAAATACACCAAATCACTTAGAGCCAATCCTGTCAAAATTGACTAGCAAATTATTTAAAATGTGTGTGTGTGTGTGTGTAGGTGTGTAGGTGTGTGTGTGTGTGTGAGAGATTTTTTCATATTAGGGAATTACTAAAATATAATAATTCCATTTAACTGTTTCAATTACTCATGACGTAACTGTTGTTGGGCAAAAACATTAATATTAAACAGATTTTAATTATTGATCTAATGCAAGATCAAAATAGTGTAATAACTATAATAAAATATAATATAGAAAACAAATTTCTAATTAAAATTATATTGATGATTCTTGCAGTATAGGTATATAATAAAAGTATATAAGAATTCTTGTCACTTAAATGCTGATATAGAAATTTAATTCTACGCTGTGTTTGTCATAATGTAGATCAACCTGCTCTCACTACCAGTTTCGGAGTCTTACTCCATCATCAGGTGAGCTTGGGTAGATCCACAAAATGACAACCACAGCGCAGAGAAGTTAAGTGGCAAGAATTCTTACTTTACTTACTATAATTTTTCTATACTGCAATAAATATGTTTTCTATTTTATAATTTGGCTTGCCTGAAAAAAAGCCTTTTACCATCTTTTTACTACTGTCGATAGTTGCGCCTCGGTGGTACGAAAGTACTACCATTGCACGCTACCAATGCTATCTCCCGTTCGGGACTTAAACCGATACTTTCCGACAAGTCGGAATTAACTTCTCTGCGTTGTGGTTGTCATTTTGTGGATCTACCCAAGCTCACCTGATGATGGAATAGGGCTCCGAAACCGGTAGTGAAAGCAGGTTGATCCACATTATGACAAACACAGCGTAGAATTAAATTTCTATATCAGCAGTTAAGTGAATTATTATTAAGCAAGAATTCTTATATAATTTTATAAAATATAATATGACCTATAATATAACTATAATATGGACCTATAGATCAAAAATTGCAGATATTAAAAATCTCAAAGCGTAGAGTAGACGACGTAAAGTAAAAAGTAAGTGCTGACCGATAAGTTCATTCAAGAATAAAAATTCCCGAGAATCTTTATTTTTTCTTTTTTGATCGAAGGCAGCCTTCTTAAGTTATTTATAAGCGTTCCGCAGATTTCCAGGATATTTTTTATTCAGTCGAGTTTCGGTTCGCTTATAACGATTTCCTGTCTTACCTAAACAACTCCGGAATATCTAATGGAGCAGATTATATGGTAGCTTGTCCCAGATTCTATGTTCCATCCACTGTTCCATTTTCGTTGGCTGGAATTGGCTGGTTGTTGTTTTGCTTATTTAGAGTTTAAGAGCCGATTTACGTTTAGAATATCTTAAACCAATGACAGATAAAGTTGTTTTCGAAAAACTCTAATCAAGTTTTCCAATTGAGATTTTAACTTCAATATTTTTTTGGAAAAATATACAAGCAATAGTAGAACATCTTTTCATACATTTAAAAATAAAAAATAAAATATTTATTTATAAAGTTTATATAATTTTTGCTAATTGTCGTAGAATTTCCATTCCAAAAATACCATATTAATTACACAGGGTGTGTCTTAAATAAGTAGAAACATTTTCAGGGCCAGCAGATCTCTATAATTATAACATAACTTTGCCTTACTTTAACCATCTTCACATCTTCTATTGTTTTAGAGCTTCCATTGGTAGGGGTTGAATATGAATTACCCTGTATACCTACCCTGTATTTTCTACATATTTAAAGCAATTTCAAAATGTCAAAATCCCAAATTATTAATGACTTTAAATGGAATCATAAAGAAAAGCCTGTAATGAATGGTATTTAACGTAAATCTACTCTTAATCTTTTTATCATTTGTGACTATGTGGTATTTCTTGTTTTTCTATTTTCTAATAATCGTTATTTCTATTTTTATAAACTCTATGTTCAGTAGAATCATTGACATAAACATTTGACTTTAGAGTTTAACTGTGCCTTCGTAATAAATAAATTACGTAATGTTGACGCTAAAATGAAGTAATTAGTCTGCATTATCACTGTAAATATTTTACAAGAATATGTATATATGCATTATAAATTTTGAACAAAATAGGTAACGTATGATTGCAAGAAACATTGATGACATTCACCATAACACAATATGATCGAAAAAAAACTGGCGTCAGCGGTTGCTAGGATATAAAAGGTCTGTTCCCAGAAGAATCCCTGATTAGTCAGCACGTTTCTCATTGGTTAAAATACGTAGAAACCTGATTGTTAGTCAGGTTTCTACGCATTTCAACCAATAAGAAACGCGCTGACTAGTCAGAGATTCTTCTGGGAACAGACCTAAAGATGGCAGTCATTTTTTATACGTAAAATTATATGGAGAATATCATTTCTTAGCCAACTGGACGCCGTTTTTTTTTTCAATCATATAATTTTACTTATAAAATGACAGCGATCTTAATTTCCAATCTTTGGTGCTTTTT